GCTCCCCTTTTCCACCAGTTTTATCTTTTATTGATAATGCCGTGATCACGTCTTTCTCTGGCGTATCAGCTCTCACTGGCGGTGCACCGCTTTGAGGAACGGCCTCTGCAGTACCTTTCGTTTCTGGAGCAGGTACTTTAGCATCTACAGCTTGCGTTCCGCTTTTGGGAGCGGCTTCTGCAGTACCTTTCGTATCTGGGGCAGGTCCTTTAGCATCTACAGCTTGGGCGCCGCTTTTAGGAGCTTCTTCTGCAGTACCTTTCTTGTCTGGAGCAGGTCCTCTGGCACTTGTAGCAGAACCTGTGGGAGTTGGCTCAACTCCTGGTGGTGGCTCGGCAGGCGATTCCTTTGGCGGTGGAGATGTAGTTGGCGCTGATGGAGAAGTTGTTTCATCTTTCTTCTGAAACACTGTATTGAGCTGCCTAAACTGGTTAGTTTTGCTTAGTATTGTTCTAGACGTACGTCTGACGACGCAGATGAGGCGGAATCCGATGTCGGCTTCTAAACGAGGGGATTACCGTGCTTATTCATATGATGTGCGGAAGAAAATAACACTACCGCAGCTTCTTCTTGAGCTCCTTCAGGTCCTTTTGAACCGCCTGCACCCATGGCTGAATCAGCAAACTCGGCAAGTGAGTTTCAGAATGAACGATGCCCCTTATATACGTGCACATATCTCTCAAAGGTTATCACTACCGCTTTCTCCCTGTTTACCTTTTCCTTTTTCCTCGAGTTCATCAAATAATATCAATGGCAAAGTGCTTATTTTAAGGCGGCCTCTTCTTCTCGCCTTGATATCATTCTTAAAGTGTTGAGCTGTGGTAATGGTCGGCTTGTTACAAAAATCTTATAAGATGGAACGAAACAAATTATTCTACGGGAGCAATTGATGGCCGTCCAAACCACCAAAGTGCGACATTTTCCACATGAAGCAAAATTGTTTTGCTTACTTCGTTCGGCATTTTTCTGCGTTCCAAAGCGAAAAAAGGTTGCGCACTGCATGGTGGTGGTCGTCAATGGGTTAATGATGCAAACGTGTTTGATTTCAGGGTCGCAAAGACATTGAAATGCAAAGAAGTTCTAGGATTGCCAATTTGACATTTTTCATTTCCATGTAAAAAGATGCATGCCGAGAGTACGGGGGGAGGACAAAAAAAGGGTCACTCCGCCCATGGCGCACATCATCAAATTTTTCGTCGCACAGGATGCCGTTGTTGATGAATGTTTTACGGCAGAATATTCCTTAGGTGTCCCCCCAAAGCAGCAGCCCTCCTTCACTGCCCCACCGTCTTCAGAATATGACGTCATCTGCCGTCACCGTCGAGCTCAACGAGGCTTACCGTAATCGCTCCGGCCTGAAGCTGCTACATAATTTCTTCAATGATTAACTGGTGAATAGCTTCCAGAGACACTAGCTGTGACTATGCAAGACCGCTTTTGACCAGCGTTTCAGGACGTCGTAATGGTCTATGGTACCTCGACGACCTCGTTGAGCTCGTACCGTGAACCATGTTTCCGTGGGAAAATCGTCTGATGTCGTCGAGATAAGCCCTTTGGACGGAACGAGCGCCCGAAGTAAGGCGTGAATGCCGCAATCACGTACATTGCGCTCGCATCGACGCGCTTTCTGCGGTAACCATTCTGAAGGTCATGCCAACAACGACGCTACCCCTTCGGTCCAGGGCAGCAATCCAAAAATGGTCGAGCGTCGCAGCGTACGCTCCGCCGCGCGGGCGGGGAGCCTGAGCGCCGCGCGAGCGTGTGTCCATCCTCCACCTCCTATATGAACGGCGCTTAGTACAGTTGGCGAGTTTGCTCGACGCGTTCTCTCTTCGTTGAGAGCGCAGAGAAAACGAGGGCGAGCACACGTTTTAACGCGTCAATGCGTCGCGCATTGTACGTGACTACAGCAGAACAATATAATTCACGCCTTACTTCGGGTGCTCGCTCCGTCCAAACGCTTATCTCGATGTCCGGTATCACCTGTATCACCTGTCGTCCCGTTGATCGTCGATTTGCTCGAGCGGGCGCCAGCAACGTCTCCATTCGTCCCTGTCGCGTGCTAGAGTGGTCCAGTGGATCCTCCTCGCTCGAGGGACACGAAGCCCATTCCTTTCGTTCAGAGCTTTCGTGAAGAAGTCTGACCATCGGGCCGGCGGTCGTCCAGGTGTTCGTTTGACGTCCCGAGGGATCCAGTCGGTAACCGCTCTGGTCCAACGGTCATCGCAAAATCGCATGACGTGTCCGGCCCACCTTATCTTCGATTCCTTGGCGAAAACGGCAGCGTCCCTGATCTTCGATCGTTGGCGTAGTTCGAACTCCGGATTCCCTCTGCACTTGCGTGTATAGGGTTACTCCTAGCATCGTCCTCTCGACAGCGCGTTGGATAACGCTGACCGCATGCTCGTCCTGCCTGCGCAGAGTCCAAGTCTCTGAGGCGTAGGTTAGGGCAGGAAGGACAGCGGAATCGAAGAGGTGGGCACGGAGCCGGATGTTCTTCGTCTTCTTCACTACTCCCTCGATGTTCTTGTACGCTCCCCAAGCCGCTCGTTTCCTCCTGCTCAGCTCTGGAGCTAGATCGTTCATCATATTGATTTCCCGACCTAGGTACACGTAGCTGGAGCATTCGGTGATGTTCGTTCCGTTGAGCGTGAATGGGGCATCAGGAACCAATCCGTTTTCTCATAAACATCGTCTTCGTTAGGTTCAGCTGTAGACCGACCTTACCACAGGCGCAGTCGAAATCAGCCAGCATTCGCTCCGCTTGCTCGATGTTCGGCGTTATAAGAACGATGTCGTCAGCAAAACGAAGGTGGTGTAGTTGCCGGCCGTCGACCTTCACTCCCATGTCTTCCCATTCCAGTTGACGCATGACGTTCTCGAGAGCGGCGCTGAAGAGTTTGGGCGAGATGGTGTCGCCCTGTCGAACCCCTCTCTTGACGTCGATGATGACCTCCTTGTAGAATGGTGAGATTCTGGTCGTAAAGTTGCTGTAGAGCTCACGAAGAATCTTGATGTACTGAGTAGGGACGCCCTGGTTGCCCAAGGCTTCGATGACCGCTTCTGTCTCCACAGAGTCGAAGGCCTTCTTCAAGTCGATGAACGTGAGACAAAGCGGCATCTTGTACTCTCGTGAAACTTCAATGAGTCTTGTAACCGTGTGGATATGGTCGATCGTGCTGAACCCTCTTCGGAACCCTGCTTGCTCGCATGGCTGTCCTTCATCTAGTATTCTGCCGATCCTGTTAAGGGTGGTGTAGGGGGGGGGTAGGCACGGATGACTCGAATGAGTGAATAGCTTGTAGATTACAGACAGCAGGCAGATTGGGCGATAGTTGCCAATGTCGTCCAGGTCTCCCTTCTTGTACAGCAACACGGTCCTGCTGGTTTTCCACGAAGTGGGTACCTTGCATTCCGACAGGTAGCGCGTGAAGAGTCGAGCCAGAGTTTTGATGATGACTGGCGGCGCGTTCTTCAGATGTTCCGGTTTAACCCTGTCGAGACCGGGCGCTGTACAATTCTTCTCCGACTCGATGGCATGTCGAACTTTGGAAGAGAGAACTTTAGCTTGGGTGTATGGCTTAGTATACGCTCTATACTTTTTTCCGCTAAGTTTTTCATTAAATTTCGAATGAATCGGAGCATCCATGCTATAACTCTTAGGGTTTTGCTAAGCGTAGACTAACGTTCGAGTGGGAATTGTGAATGGTCATTCTTGATGTTTATGGAGGCAAAAGTTAACGCTGTTTCGATGTTCCAGAAGCACCTTCCATGGTCCACATCCAAATCGAAACAACGATGACATTCCCACTGGAGGGTCGCCAAGACAGTGAAGAACCACTTCAACCACTCAGTGTTTTTCCGCAGTTGTCTCAAGAAGAGGCCAACGATACCAGCATCCTGCTGATTGTTTTGGATGACCATATCCAAAGAAAACTGCAGTTCCTTATTTTGTCTTTTCATTGCGCTCGATGATTTTTTATGAATTCTTTCGGTTCCTGTGTGCGGCCGAACATTCAGTACACCCAATTCATGATCCTCTGGTGATTTTGTCAACCAACTAAGAACTACTCGTGAATCCGAGAAAACGAATATTGTCTTTATGTCAGGCACTGAGCTCTGCGCTTCTCAATTCTAATTTGGGTTTTGTAGTCTTTGATTTGATAGAAGGCAATTTTGATTTTGCCATTATTAATAATGAAACAACATTATTTTTCATGAAAATATACACAACCCAGGCAATGCCCATGTAGCCCCTCGGATCCACTCCGCATCAGCAAATGACGTCCAAATCACAAACGTGGGGGTCACCCGGATTCTTGCGCCATATATCCATTCTTCTGAAACTTCATTCGCATTCTCGCATATCTTTGGCGCTATTCCGTCGCATAAAAAGATCGAGAGTTCTTTGGTCCGAGAGTAGCCTTAAATTAACCAAAAATTATAGTTAGAAACATCTGCGCGGCGATAGGAAAGGCATAAAGCCATCCTAAGGCTATCTTTCAATGACGGTAGACCCTTACAGTGAGGGGAAGCGTCGAAGACCACGCGTAAAATCGTGGTTTTTTCAGCGAGTTATAACCGGCTGGTTTGGAAGGTGGTGAATTAAATGCGGGGGGTGAAAGCTTCGTTTTCTTTCACTTCTTCTATAATTCCCTTTTCCAGTTGTTCTTGGAATACGTTATGATACTGTTGGAGAGTTGAGGGTTTTTTTGTAGCCCGTTCAGAACGTTTTTGAGACGGCAAAATGCTAACGATTAATTTGTGGACAATGATAGGCACCCTTTTCTCGAAAGGCAGCCGAACACATAATAGCTCTCGTCCTCATCTTCTCTCCATCAGAACCAGCGAAAAACTTAAGAAAATGTTGCAGTATAACAAGGGATCTTTCTGCAAATTTTTGTAGCCTTGTGAACCTTCCAATGTTCACTTAAAGTTTACAAGGACCAGTGGACGATACCCATCTGATAATCAATTTACTATCCGCTCAAGCACGCTATACTACCTTGTCGAGCACCTGCCGCCCACTTGTCGTGAATACCTTCACTATCTTATGTTCATCGGCGTCATCTCCGTTTTCAAGAGGCGAATGCTTTATCTCTTTCAATATTCCGCTTAGGGAGGTGCCCTAATTTAGAGGGTATTTCATGCAATCCCGATGGTAAAGTGTATTGTGGGTTTGTGCCGCTGAGAAGGGGTCACATTCGGCTGCAGGCCAACAGTATTTGTGGATTCACCGGTGCTTCCGCCTTTTTGGACAAAACGATTCCCTTTTCTCGCGCCAGACTCATTCCACGCAATTCCCCCCCCCCTTCCCCTGGTATGTAAGAGGAACATCCCTCTGGCCTCTCGGGTTGACTGACTACAGGCCCTCCGGTGATTTACACAGGGAAAGGTCATGCGGGTTCCCAAGCGCATGCAGTTCTATGACTTCGTACCTTTCACGCCGTGGAAATCTGTTACCAAAAGTGTAAACTGACAGGTCTATCGCCTTGGTACTAGTAAGGCAGAGTGCATCTGCTAACTATTCAAGATGAACGATAATCTATCCCAGCGAAGCGCTGCCATCACACAGAAAGTTAAGCCTCCTACGCCCTCTTTTGCAACGGTGCCACACCCCGCTGTTCTTTACTCGCCAAACTTTCGCTGTCTCCCTAGTAAGCAGCAGAACCCTTGTTCGCATTCCTACCCTACTACATAAATTCGAGATACTACGGCTGAAGTCGTTATTCATTCAGTCCGTTCTTATTCTGAGACTGCAGATTGGTAGAGGAAACCGAGATTTTGCCACCTGAATGAGTCTCTTTCTCACTATCTTGTTAATGCTTGAGTGCGCTCTCGCCGTGCGCGTGGCTCCTATGACATTTTCCTCTTGATGGTACTGCGACAGTCTTTCTCTATTTTGCCTTTTACGGCCACCTGTAAGAAAAGTGGTGCTCTCTTTCCCTTCAGCCAAGCAGTTGCTGCCCATCCACTAATTGCCTTTGCACTGTTTTGACCGAAGTGGTTGAATTCGCAGCAATGAGCATTTTTTGTTCTTAGCCACCGGATTGTTCTTGCTCTATTCAATGTTGTAATTTTAGTAACAACGCGCAGTGCGCGATGCTCGGTCTATGCAAATAAACGGCATTATTGGGGCACTCAGCGCTGATGAGTTGTCGAAACTGCTTTCTCGCCTTTACCGGTTTTGCGTCCTCTTACTCTATTCTGCCAAGGCTTTCTCTCACTACATGTCGTCGACTTATTGTCATCGGCTGTTGGCGAGATAGGCTACAGTCAAAACCTTGCTTACACCATCCGCTTTCCTGACGATCTCGTCTCGACGAGCTGTTGCAAAACTTTCCTCTGAAAATCTTGTTTGAACTTTGTCAGAATTTTCTGCTGATGAAGGAACCATCCAATGGAACTCCTTTTTGCTCCAAGTAGTTAGAGCAATCGGATATTCCAGCAATCTTCGCTGTTCAACCTAAATATGGGTGCTTTTGCCGTAGGCCCTCCTCTCCCGACGCACTTGGCATGCATATGATTTAGTTTTGTATTTATTACGCAAATTGTGGCTTGAATTGCTTCCACGGCATGTTTATAATTTTCTTCCAAACTTGCAGGTTCGCTCACGACTTCCTTTAGACTCCATCCACGTTGAGGCTTCCTAATAAGTACAGTTGATATTTTGCAGCATTCGAAATCCCCTCGCCTTTGCTCCATCCAGCATTTGACCTACTGAAAAGTGTCCAAAAGTTTTCGAATTCGCTTAGTCTCCCACTAAAATTAGGGATTGGTACCGCGGGTAGCTCAACTTTTGCGCTTTGAAGTTCTGCCACCATTTTGTTTGGCGCTCGCCCTGGTTGCTCCAAACCCTTGAGCTTTGCCCGCACTCTAGCATTTAGGGTGTATGCTCTTTCGAGATGTTATCGGGTCTTTTCCACATAGTCATCAAATTGGGTTTCCTGTTCGGAAATTAATGAACTTATGATTTGTTCTATTACCTCTGTGAATTTTTCCAGTGCGTCGCGTACTAACTTTATATTAGTCCCTACTTCAGAGGCCATTTGTGCTAACAGTCGTGGAGAACCTTCTCCTTCGATTTCCTCGGAAAACTTCGAAATGACCTGTTAGTTGGAGTTAGCATGTTGGAATACCTAGTAAATAGCCCTTTTTGTGTTTTAACTGAATGGGTCTAACCATTTTTCGCAATCAATGGACGAGAAACGAGTTTCGCAACAATCGCAAAATACGGTAAAAAATATCGAAATCAAAGAAAGAAAAGGGAAAAAAGTCTGGTCAGTCTCTCAAAAAGTGGCTTAAGAAAACGTTTATGTTATAAGAAAATAAATGATATATACGAATGGTCTAAACAATCGCAGAAACAACTTTAACCAGGAATCGATCTTCCGAAAGAGAAGAGGAAAAAAACCACTTTCTTTCGCAACGAGAGAAAGGGAAAAAACCCTTTTCAACAATTGCCCTCAAGAACAAAGATACCAAGGAAAATTTTGGCTATCTTATGAAAAGGATAGACAAATCTCAAGATTTCGCAACAACAAATGAAAAGGAGGAATAAACCGTCTCACACACTCTCGTCAGCTTTTTATACGGATCTAGGCCGATGCAAAAACATTTTCTGAGGGAGCGAAAACATTCGTATCGCCGAGGCATAGGAAATCGCAGCTTTTTCTCAACATAGCTCATCTCTGAAACATTCGAGGAATCGCGGCCGCATCCCGCGATACACTTCACGCGAAGAAAATTTGCTACAATTCAGGTTTAAGAACGCGAGTCACGAACATGAAGTCTACAGGATGCGCCAATGGTCATGGCGACACCTAGGGTGAATACCGATCGAGGAAATCCTCAAGCATGGCTCCGTCTGTGTGAGATTAGCGTCGAGAGTGAATGTAGGCGGGAAAAGTGTACAGCCGGCTAGCGCGTGGCGGAAGTGGATGTCCGCGCGAAGAGCGGAAAGAGAGAACAAGCAAAAATCGTCGACGATTTGTAAACGAATCCCCGACCGATTCTTACATGGAGACTGCGAATGCGCACTATTTGAGCCATAGTTCAATGGTACTGTCTTCTCCTGCGCTCGTTTTAGTTTTGTTATGTCGATCTGCTCATACTTATCTTATTTTGTTTTCGCCGAATTACGTCACAATTCTATAGTGAAGTTTTTATCTCTGGTTTCTCAGAATTGTGGCATATTCATTCTAGGCGACTCGAAATCGCTTCGCTATAATTTTAGGCCATCCTCAAAAGTGCTTTGTGAATCCCCTCAGTAAGTCGCGAGTGGTCGAAATAGGCAAGAAATGCCGAAAAGCAAACTTGTGGAAGACTTACGCAGGATGGACTTCGCGTCAAACACGAATACTCGATAGAGCCACTATTCCTCCTATGGACTGAACTTGACTGTCCCTCTATGGACTGAGCGTCAGAGGAAAGTGAAGTGCTGTTACGGCTAGAGTAGCTCGCCCCACAGATGTACTGGTGCTTGCTAGTTCCTCGCAATCTCTCGCTACTCTGAAATCAACAGGTTGTGCTCTTTATATTTTGAAACGGGCATTTTTATCTGTATCACTTCGCCCGGTCCTCGATTGGAGTTTCACTGAAAACATGAAATTGACTCCCGGTCAGGAGATATGTATATTGCGATTGATTGTATCGTTTCAATCTATGCGGGGAGCCCTAGCTCATTCATTCTTCTTCTGGAAAGCTGTTTGCTCTAAAGTATTGAGCTGTCCCATCAATCCCGAGAAGTTAGTTTTTACGATTCTGTGTCTAATAATTTTTACAATTCAGTTTATTTAAGACAGTGGGTAGGGATCAGGCAATTGAAAGAATCAACCCTCATCGATACCGTGACTAGGTCCGAAACCAAAGAAGTGGTACTACGACCCGAAACCACGCTGAAAAACTCCCTGGCGTAGTATTTA